CCTAGGCAACACTGACTAGCGGGAGTTTATTCAGCTTGTTCCCACGTTAGACAGCAAGGTTTTAGTGCCCACCTCAAACTGAAACCTGTCATCCACATCTGTTCATTCGCTTCTTACCAACGTGGGATAGACTTCAACAATGGAGCAACGACAGATGGCTGTCGTTAGAGGTGGTGTAAGAGAGAAAACTATAGGTAATAAAAACAATACCTGCAAGGAAGACACCTGAAAGTTTATAGTCATCAGAAAGCTTTAAGTATTCCTAAAGAAATAAGATAAAAAGAAGCATTACAAGTCAGAATTAAGACACCTGGAAGGCATCACAAAATGGGAAGCTCTTTCAGCACTGCAGATTAAACAAATACACACAAGTTGCTCTCCTGTTTTTTTTCACATTAATGATTTCATACCGTTTTGCAGCAACAACATAAAAAACACAAGCATTTTCACATTAGTTCTCAGCAAATCTAAAACTTCAGGTGCACTATCAAGATACCAAAACACAAGTGATTACTGTGTTATCATTTCTGATAACTTACAGTAACAGACTGCACTCACACTCTTAGCCCATCAAAAGACAAAGTTAGCAAAAACGCCCTTCACTGAGGCTGAAGTCATGTATTTCCAATGAAAAGTTTAAGACACAATCAGTTATGTCCATTCTATGATTCTATGTATGACAGAAAAGATAAAATCCAGCAACACATTTTTCAGTTTTTAGGAGATAACTGATCAGATGCTATCTTAGCGGGGGCCTTTAAACTACCTTTACACAGCAGTATATTAATATAAACTCACTAACAACATTATGCTTCTTCAAAAGAGAATGGAGAACAGATGCACATTAAAGCTAGCCAAGTCTAACTTCAATGTACATATAATCTCAATGACATAATACAAATTAATTCCTTAAGAACTGGACGTAGTGCCCCTATAAAAATGTCTGCTACTCAATGCAAAGCACTCAAGCTACCTTCCCATGCCGCAGTAAATGCAGCCGGACTAATCAGGAGAAAAATTCCTACACACTCCAGAACAGGAAGATACTCTAAGCTGACACTATTGTAACAGAAGGTTGCTCATTTTAGCAAAACCTAGGTGCCTAAGAACATCTTAAATAATGTAGCAGCAGCAGAAAGAGATAAACACATGCATGTAACAGTTTAATTGGTTTTGACACCAAAGACTATTTTGGTTCTAGGAGTCTCATATGCTGTTTCCAATCTCTTTTGCTTCAACTTTTCCTGCAACCCGAAGTCCCCTACACTTTCCCCAAAGCTTTGTTCTCCCAATCACCAGCCCTCAGAGACCCAGCACAACTCCCAGGTCAGCTTCTTTCCTCTCAAAACCGCTCCCAAAGCTGTAACCTTTAATCCCCTCACCAAACCCTCCCAAACACCTACCTCTTGTTTCCATCCTAAATGCTTTGATTTTTCCCAGCTGTAAGCTCTCCCGCAGAACACCCTTGCTTTCTTCACATCCTTTTCTCGAGCTTTTCTTTATCTCCCTGAACTCAAACCCACATACTTGCTGCAGCTGTTCCAGCTACTGCCCATATAAAAATTGTTCCTGCTGTTTCTTTTTACAGACAGCGCTCCATTCAGCTAACTATCGCTTCTAGTTTTCCCATTGTTGCCTGACTAATCTCTGGTCATAATTTAAGAAACCCAGAAGACGACATCCATGGATCTAAGCTTTGGCAGAATTTGGTCACTTCTTACCACAACTGTTTTGAAGGCCTTAGTCCTATACGCAATGTTAAGGCCTTTACAAGTAAACCGCAGGCACAGAACTCCATGGGATGCAAGACAGGTTGCCAAAGACACTAAGTGAGGGAAATTCATATCTCCTCCAGCTCCATGCGTAAGAATCATTCCATATGTTGATTTCTTCTCTGGGACAGAAAAGATAGCATCAAGATACTTGTTTCCAAAAGGTATTTTCACTTTAACCTAGAAATGAAACAAAAACACCCCATAATTAAATTTTTAAAAAAAACAAACAAAGCATCTTCCCAGTCTACATGTTATGATGAAGGAGAATCGGGCAATCAAGAAAGAATCCAAAATTGCCAAGTCCACTTTTATTTCTTCGGTTTAAGAGTACTTAATGAGGAACTCTACCTCTGGCCTGAACATTTTCCATGCAATAATGGGCAAGTCACCTTATCACCCCACACCTTATTTTCTCCACTAGAAAATGAAGCATCCATAGCTTCAAAGGATGCTTCAAGGCATAAACTGAAATGCTTCTTACCTTCACCATATTATCTACCTATTCGAGAGCCAACTGCCATAATTGACTACTTAAATATCAAGTCTTCCACAATAAGAAAAATTAACTCTTCTGTAAGACTTAAAAAGTAAGAAATATGAACTCTTCTATAATTACGGTTTCCTATAGTGGAAAAATATTTTGATCTGCCATCTCTCACAGACATTATTAAAATAAAAGAATTACAGAAGCCCCTAAACATTTATTATCAAATTACTTTGGGTCTGTAGAGCCATATGGAGTATATATAGCATTAAGACAACTCCATGCTGGCAGCAACTGTTTAATCCTGTAGCTGTAGGATCCATGTACAAGCTTGAATACACAGGGAAAAGACCAAAACAGAGTATTATGAAATATGGATTTGAATACATTAGTTTTAGATATTACTCACGACCTTAAGAAAAAAAAGGGAATTCATTTTTTCATTAAATGTTCAAAAATAACTGGGAGCAGATGTCACATGATACAAATTTCATGTATGTGTATAATTGATATTCCAAGATAAACAGGACAGTAACTAGCAGCCAAAATCACAGAAATACAAGACATGAAGACACAGCCCAGCAAGTGTTTCCAAATTAGACAGCAGTAACCACTCAGGGGAGTGGCAGGCCGCATATAGTCAAAGACTGAACTTTCCCCAAGGACAGGAGAGACACAGCACAGACTCAGACTAAGCCAGGGTCAAGCTGGCAGAGGGCCTCCAGTTGTGACAGACATCTGGAGATGCTGAATGACATGCAAGACCAGCTGATGTTTTGCTGAATGAAAGGGAACTGGACAGCACATGTGCCCCTGTACCTGCTGCAGCTTCTGAAAGCAAAAAGGAAAATACCCAGGGCCAGAACGAAACACAGTTTCATGCCACTGTTGCCTCCCAAAGACTCTCCTTGGTAGTGGTCATAGTATCATAAGGTTCAAAGAGACCTCTAAGATCAAGTCTAACCGTTGACCTAACACCATCATGCCCACTAAACCATGTCCAGAAGCACTACATCTACACGTTTTTTGAACACCTCCAGGGATGGTGACTCCACCACTTCCCTGGGTAGCCTGTTCCAACGTTTGACTACTCCTTCAGTAAAGAAATTTTTCCTAATGTCCAATCTAAACCTCCCTCGGCGCAACTTGAGGCCATTTCCTCTTGTCCTATCGCTTGTTACTTGGGAGAAGAGACCGAGTCCCACCTCACTACAACCTCCCTTCAGGTAGCTGTAGAGACCAATAAGGTCTCCCCTCAGTCTCCTTTTCTCCAGACTAAACCACCCCAGTTCCCTCAGCTGCTCCTCACAAGCCCTGTTCCCCAGGCCCTTCACCAGCTTCCTTGCTGGTCCTACAGGGGCACCGCACAGGAAAGGAGGTTTGGCAGTGCCCTCACGGAGCTGCTACCTTTACAGCCTCAGCCCAGCTGAAATGGGCAAAGGATGCCGGACAGAGGATGGCAGTCGGACACGGGGGTGACCAGCACTCACGCGCGGGTACACAGATGGCCAGAAGTCTGAACAGCCAGAGCTGCTGCTTCCTGACCACCTGGCCACTGCTCAGTGAAGACACCAGGCCAGACGGGGCTCAGCAGGCCAACAGCCACGCTTACACCCCTCCCGTGAAGGCAG